GCTGCCCCCTAGCGGGGGCCACCCTTCACCTTTAAATTGACTCCTTTAGGAGAAGGCAGTAATCCTTTATTTTTTTATTTTTAAAAATGAATAGAGACAGGGTCTCACTCTTGCTCAGGCTGGTTTTGAACTCTTGACCTCAAGCAATCCTCCCACCTTGGCCTCCCAGAGGGCTGGGACTACAGGTGCCCGGCTGACTATAATCCCTTTAGGGCTGCAGTCCTCAAGGCCTGGGCCAGGTACCTGCCCTGGCCTGTTCAAGGCCCCACAGCAGGAGTGAGCAGTGGGAGGGCGAGGGAGGGAAGCTCCATCTGTATTTACAGCCACTCCCCATCGCTGGCATCACTGCCTAAGCTCTGCCTCCTGTCAGATCAGAGGCGGGAGGATTGCTCAAGGCCAGGAGTTCAAGACTGGTCTGGTTAACACAGTGAAACCCCATCTATACAAAAAATTTAAAAATTAGCTGGATGTGGTGGTGGCACTTGCCTACAGTATCGGCTCCTCGGGAGGCTGAGGCAGGAGGATCCCTTGAGCCCTGGAGTTTGAGGTTACAGTGAGCTATGATCACACCACTGTACTCCAGCCTGGGTCACAGAGACAGTCTCAAAAAATAAATTTAATTTAAAAATTAAAAATAGGCCGGGCTGGGTGGCTCACGCCTGTAATCCTAGCACTTTGGGAGGCCAAGGCAGGTGGATTGCTTGAGGTCAGAAGTTTGAAACCAGCCTGAGCAAGAGTGAGACCCCGTCTCTACTATAAATAGAAATAAATTTTAAAAAAGCCATTGTCATGGAACTCTCTTTAGTCACAAGCCACACCAGTGTAATGACCACAGCAGACTCAATTTAAAGAAATGCCATAGAAGAAATTGCTATGGAGTACGATTCTATCAGCAAGACAGCTCAAGTACCAGGTGATCTATTTGTCAGGCTTACAGACAACTTCCCACTGCATTTCTAACACAAAATGCCCACATGCCTTAAAAATTAAATTCCAAGTGGTCATTAAATTAGAAGCATGCCGTCTTTCGAAATATCTTTATCATAGAACTTACATGAGAAAGATTGTTTAAGTAAAACCTAGCTGCCAAGGAAACTTGTAGAAAAATCTTTAAACCAAAACTCTATCTGAAGGAAGGTGCCGGAATGACTTGCCCGTTAATTTTAGAACAGGAAGCTGACCGTCATCTGAAAAAACTGAGAGGGCACCAGTGAGCACTAACCTGGCCTGGGTTTCTTATAGTGTTTCTCCAGTTTCGGGAAGCTCATCACCAATCTAGGTCTCTTGAAAAGTTACTGGTAGGGCCGGGTGTGCTGGCTCAGGCCTGTAATCCTAGCACTCTGGGAGGCTGAGGTGGGTGGATTGCTCAAGGTCAGGAGTTCGAGACCAGCCTGAGCAAGAGCAAGACCCTGTCTCTACTATAAATAAAAACAAACTAATTGGCCAACTAATATATATAGAAAAAATTAGCTGGGCATGGTGTCCCGTGCCTGTAGTCCCAGCTACTCGGGAGGCTGAGGCAGGAGGATCGCTTGAGCCCAGGAGTTTGAGGTTGCTGTGAGCTAGGCTGACACCACGGCACTCACTCTAGCCTGGGCAACAAGGCGAGACTCTGTCTCAAAAAAAAAAAAATTAAAAGTCATTTCAGAGCTAAGAAAAACACTGGTGTCCCAAACACCAACACAAAACTAAAGTAAGTTAACCAGAGAAGATAAGATTTTCCAAAATAATGGCCAGGAGGGGAGCTGAATCTGTGATTAGACATGACACACTGTGTTCTGGGGGGGCGGGGGGGGTGGTGGTAAAGAAAAGATTCAGAAAAAAAAAAAAAATCAACACTAGGGTGTTTCCCAACAAAATTACTGAATGTTGAGAATGAGGAAGAGTCCCTGAGCAATCTGAAAGAAGGAGCAGTGACTTCCGAGGGGACGGTCGGGAGCCCCCGGCCCTCTGCAATGGGGCGGTGCACAGGGAGGCTCAGGAGAGTGGTCACGCCCCACGAGCAGGCGTGCCATACCCCAGGGCGACATTTCTCACCCCAGGTCCAGTCCTACATCCCAATGAGCACAAACTCACACACACACACACCAGGAGTGCTGAGGGAGGAAGCAAGGCCCGGAAAGGTCACGCCGTGCACGCTGCCATTCAAGCATGAAGGTGCCGCTGAGGCTGCAGACGTAGATGTTGCACATCTTGTCGGTGCACAGATAACACCGCTAAAACAAGATCGGGGACACGGGGACAAAGTCCATGAATTCCTCTGCCTTGTCTAGTGGTTAATGCACACTCGATTGGTTTAATTAAAAAAGAAAAAGAGGCCAAACATCATTAAAGGGAACCACCAGAAGTACAAAAACTACAGCCCAACCATCAAAACCCAGACAGCCCAAGCGTGAAGGAAGGTGGAAGGATTGTGTGCCTAATACAGTCTTCAGGTTTCATAGCTGATTGTCAAAAGACATCACCCAAATCTATCAGATCACTAGACACTAAGATGAACATGAAAGAAACGAAGACAAACTCATTAAAAACATGCTGCTTCTGCTTATGAACCTGCAGACAGGGCAAGCTTTGTGGGACAGCTTGGCTGGCTCCCTTGGTGTCAGTGGGCCGGTGGCAGGCTGAGGGCTGGGAGCATGTAAATCGCACTCACTCACCCGCGTCCATGCCTGGGCTGGGAGATTCGGGCGGCGGGGCTGGGACGGGCGGGGCTCCCTGGGCATCTCTGCATCCATCAATGTGGACTCTGGACTTGGCCTCTCTTGTGTGTGGCTCCAGGGGAAGCAATCAATCTGTAGTCTTTGAGACAGGGTCCCACTCTGTTGCCTGGGACGGAGTACAGTGGTGTCACCATAGCTTACAGCAACCTCAAACTCCTGGACTCAAGCAATCCTTTTAATTTTTTGTAGAGACAGGGTCTTACTATGTTGCCCACAGTCTCAAACACTTGAAGTCAAGCAAGCCTCCTGCCTGAGCCTCTCAAACTGCTATGATTATAGGAATGAGCCACCATGCCTGGCAAGATGGGCTTTTAATTCTATTGAGGCAGGGCGGTGGCTCACGCCTGTAATCCTAGCACTCAGGGAAGCCGAGGCAGGAGGATCGCTGAAGGTCAGGAGTTCGAGACCAGTCTGAGCAAGAGTGAGACCCCCGTGTTTACTAAAAAGATAGAAATTAATTGGTCAACTAAAAATACATAGAAAAAATGAGGAGGTTGCTGTGAGTTAGGCTGACGCCATGGCACTCTAGCCTGGGTGACAGAGTGAGACTCTGACTCAAAATAAATAAATCTATTGAATTGGCAGGTGTGATGCCCAGTGCTGGCTGGCACAGGAGATTTATTGCTGGCAAGAGTAAGCCGACAAAACCACATGGGAAAGCAATCCGGCAATGTGCACCAAAATGTTAAATTCTATTTGTTCTAACAATCCCACTGCTAGGGATTTACCTTTCAGATATAAACAAAAGCTGACCAAAATATTTAGTACAAACATGTTCACTGCAGCACTGAATATACTAGGAAAAAAACTAAACACCCAGGTGTCCATCTGCAGCAGTTCAAACCCCACGGCCACCCTGCTAAAGGACCACGCCCACCATGGGTTACGGCCTCAGCTACCAGAAAGAACTCTCCCAGCTCACGTGCACACCCACCGGTGCCCCTTCCCTCACATCTCCCGTGCAGCCCGTGCAACTGGACTGTCTGCACACCCACCACTGCAGCTTACACTCCCTCAGGGTGTTACAGACTTCTGCAAGACCCCACACACCCCTCACTTCTCAAGCCTCCTCCGTGGCCTCCCTGCAGTCCTTCCCTCTCCACTTCCAGCCACAGGGCACCTGCAAGGACTGTTTCCTGGCCTGCCTCTATTTTCCTCCCCCAGTCCCCAGGGAAGGCCTCTGGTCATCCCAAGGAGATAAGATTCCAACAGCAGCTTGAGGTAAGGAGTTTGAGACCAGCCACAGCAAGAGCCAGACGCCATCTCTACTAAAAATAGCTGGACAACCAAAAATATATAGAAAAAATTATCCATGCATGGTGGCACATGTAGTCCCAGCTACTCGGGAGGCCGAGGCAGGAGGATCGCTTGAGCCCAGGAGTCTGAGGTTGCTATGAGCTAGGCTGACGCCACGGCACTCTAGACTGGGCAACAGGAGACTCTGTCTCCAAAAAAAAAAAAGATTTCGCCAACAGCCACCCTACCTTTTAACAGTCAGTACTAATTTCACACTTTTAACAGTTGCCATTTTACTTTGGATGTCACTGGTATTTGTCTTACTCCACCAAATCATTAGTTCCATGATAGCAGGGTCTGTGCCTACACTGTCCCTGGCACCTAGTCTATAACAGACACTCAATAAATACTTGGCACGTCACACAGGAAGCAACGAGACAGATCTGTGCTTTTTGCCAGCTGATGAAATGACCAGGAAAGGTGGGCAGTCTGACACGGAGAGGCTTCTAGGTGGACACCCGGGGCGCCTTCACCCGGGCAGTGTGAAAACTTCGCTCCCTTTCGTTTGATCGAAACAATGATCTAACCGAGACAGCTGCTCTAAACTGGACCATTAGGGCTGCACATGACAGCAACCCAACAAATTACCCCAAGCAAAATCAGGAAAACTTGGGGCAGGGCTTGTTTCGGCCATGGCCGGGTCCAGGTACCCCCGCCAGGGTGTAGAGCCCGCCCCGCCCCCCACCGCTTGTGTTGGCTCCTCTCCAGCACCCGGCTGCAGCCTCAGGTGCCCCCACGCATGAGAACAAGATACACCTTCGAGGCTCCAGCAAACTCACCTGCGACTGGGTCTGCCTGAGGCCGGGATCCTGCAGGCTTCATCCCCTACGTGGGCGTGGCCTGGAGGCTGGGGACGGGGCCCACTGGGCCAACTGGGCCAACGTCCCACCCCCAGCACTGAGAGCACTGAGGTGTGGTTTGTTAGAGGAAATGCGAGTGGCTACTACAGCACAGGGAACAGATGCCACGAAGCCAAAACACACATCACTGTAAACTGGTAAGTGTACTTTTTTGGGGGGGCAGGGTGGGGATCAAACTGTTAATAGTAGCTTCCACTGGGACAAGGTACCGGCACCAGGGAGGGCTATGCTTGTCACTTTGCACCATTAATTGACATTTTCTAACCTGTACATGTGCTATTTTTAATTTCTTAAAATCACAATTAAGTTTTCTCCAAAGAATTTTAGTTCTTAAAAATGATACCTGTCTATAAATGTTCTCTTACTCAGAGCAGGCTCCGACACATGAACAGCAAAATCAGACATTAATAGTAGCACATCATGTTAGTACCGTAAAAAAACCACCACAAATTTAGGCACTTTATCGGAGAGAAATGCTTAGAAATAAATGAGGTCATCGGGTCGTCTGCCACACCCCACAGGGCCACAGCTGATTCTCTGTATACGCTAAAACCGTCACACTGAATGGAACCTATGAACCCTCGACCCCAGCATCTCTCTTTCCTAAATAAGGAAACACAACAGGTTTTATCGACCACATAAAACCTGACAGGCACACAAAAAGTTCTCTCCAACTGATGAGTGCAATTCAAGTCAAAAAAGGTCGAAGTTAACTACTCAGGATTTCCAAGCGATATTATTTTCTGTTCTGCTCTGCCTGCAGAGATTGTGGATTTACACGCCCTGGCTGCCTGGTTATATATCTGTATATATATATTTAGGTATCAGAGCTCGAGGCAGGGCCACCAGAGCATGTCCTACCGCCATAGCAATGAAAACGTTTGTGGCAGAAGAGTCTGACTCAATTAACAGTTTTAAAAACTTGTCTGATTAGCATCTGCTATCCTTTTAGTTAACAGAAAGTAAAGAGCACGGCACAGCAGGCCCCCAGTCAGAGCGCGGAGGAAGGGCATGGAACCTCAGTAGCGCCCACGACTCGCCAGGTTTCAATGGGAAAAAGCAACACGGTCCAGTCCATGTAAGGAGTTTCCATAGTAAACATGAATTTGTCAGTATCTGACATTACTACTTATAAAACCTGTCTTCTTATTTGAAGGCTTTTAAATACTAATTCTCGTACTGACAGTGGGACAGACCATTTCTAGAAGAAACCAGAATGTCATTTGGTGTGTGGTTTCCTGTGCCCACCCCCGCCCGAGCCCGGCGGGGCTCCATGTCCGTGTGTCCGTCTGCAGAGCACCACGCTGCCCGTCACAGGTCCTCCCGTCCGCTCCCGGCCCGACCGTCTGCCTTGGAAGCCCGAGGTTTCGGGTCGCCTTCCTTCTTCTTTTTGCCCTTGTCTTGCTTTGTTTTATTTTTCTCTTTGCTTCCTCCTCCTTTGCCAGGGTACACCTGTCCCTCCAGAGTGACATCAGCACACCTGTCTTGACTGACCAAAAAGTCCTTGATCTCCCAGGCGTAACTCCCATCACGCAGCATGAAGATGGCCCGGTCTGATCCCACGATGAACCTGGACAGAGACGCGGTCACAGTTAGCACACGCCAGGAAGGGCTAATGGTCAGAGCAGTTCTGTGGCACTTACCAAGAAAAACAGTGCGTTTCCCATTCTACGTGAAGACAACAAAACACTGTGTTATCCCAGGCCTAATAGCTGATGCAAAATGTTTGAAAACGTAACTGACTGAACTATTAAACAAACACCCAGCTCAGATCAAAACAGACACAGACGCTGGCTCTTCCTCTGTGGTATAAGCGGACGCTCATGTTAAGACAGAACACTGGGAAAAGCTCTGCAGGATACTGCAGCAAGAGCACAGGGGCTGCTGGCGCGGCGGCAGCTTCCGTTCATATGTGTTTTATATTCTGAAGTGTCCAGTTAAAGTTTTATGCAGAAAGACGTATGCTGATAAAGGCTGAAAACCACTGCCTTAGAGTGGGCCGTGATAAGAAGCCCTTGAAGGGCTCAAGACGACACTCGGCCACCAGACACAAATCCTAACCCCAGAGGTTGACAGCAATAGCCCAGCTCGTCCACACTTGACAGATCCCAAGGAGCAAAGAGGAAGAGAACGGGGTCAGGGTGGACCACTGGGTGGCCAGCGGGCACGAGTCTTCTGTTCCTGAGGGACTGCACCACACTGTCACCCTCCCATTTATAACATTCCCACCACACCAGAGTTGTACTTCCAAACCAGTCCACCAAGACCTTTATTTGTTCTCTTTAAGTGTCTGTTTAACACAGTGCCTGCCACACCAGAAAAAAAAAACAAAACAAAAAAACCCCCAACTTTTCCTTGGAGCCACAGTGTTTTATTACGAAATAGAATAAAACTTCAAAAACAAAAGGAACTTTTCTAATTTAATGAAAAATCTGTTATTGACTTCTATTCATTTAACCAACGGTTTTAGAATTAAATTGTCAACATTAATTGTAATACTAAGAACATCAACAAGTGACACTTTCACAAGGCAACTAACTGCAGGGTTTTGCCCAGGTTTGCCTTCACGAGGACCCAGACTGAAAACTAACGTGAGTTAAATAAATAGCTAATGAAAGCATTCTGCTGGCTTGGACCTTATCTACATATATTTGCTCAACTAAGATATTTGAAGACCCCCAACTTCAAAACTGTTGTTCAAGGGAAAAAGCAGACTCCTTAACATTGCATCTCAGAACCATGCTGAGCCGTGAAAACCGGGCCCTTCACGTTAAATAAGCTATCTGTGCAAAGTACGGTCCAAACTCTGTGTGAACAGGGCTACACACAAGCCTTCTCCACTGAGCAGAAACTTCCGAAGGAAGCAAACTGCCACTAATTTGTCCCTCTGAAAGGCTATGCTATACAACCTTTTATTTATGAAATAAAAGCTAAAGATATAAAGATAAATAAAAGTTTAGGATCAAATGAGAAAGTAAAAACAAACAAACAAACAAACTTATTGGCTTTGACCAATAAGTGGATGGCTATCTGTAAAGGACAAAGTGACAAGTAACATAAATGAGGCGCGAGACCCCGTCTCTACTGATTAAATAGAAGGAACCAATTAATGGCCAACTAGCTCATATATTGTAGGACAAATTAGCCCGGGCATTGGGGCGCGCATGCGCCTGTAGCCAGTACAGGAGGCTGAGAGGAGAGCGCTTGAGGCCAGGAGTTTGAGGTTGCGTGAGCTTAGCTGACGCCTGGCACGTCACTCTAGGCCTGGGTGGGGGGGCCCTGGCAACAAAGGGAGCTCTGTCTCAGAGAAAACTAAAATAAAATAAAATGAAATTAATTATTAAAAAGCACTACGCTGGAAGGCGCAGGGCCCCTGGGCAGGGGCTCCAGGAAATGCCGTGCACAACCACAGACAGCCGCGCGTGGCCTGCCAGCGCCTCAGCCGAGTTGGAGCTTTACCTCTGGACGTCGTAGTTGGCATTGAACAGACTGCCCTGCCAGAGGCTGGTGATCTCCTCCGTCTCCTTCTCGGTGGGGCTTCCCGACACGGTGACAAACATCATGAGCGTCTTCCCTTTCTTCGTCATCTGCAATATGCTTTCAGGCTTGCCCGGGTCTATCTTTGAGAAGTCGACGGGCGCAGGGCGTCTCTTGTGCTCTGGAAGGTCTCCTTCTTCTATGTCATCATCTTTCTATCGGGGTGGAGGGAGAGCAGCAAACTTGTCATCAGAAACTTGCTTCTCAACTGTCACAGGCAAAAACGTCTGCACATGATACCAGGTGCAGGTACCTGACCTAAGTCGTGACAGAAAAAGGAAAACTCAGGGGTTTTCCCCCTCTACTTGACTTCTGAGCAAAGCCTAAGTTTCAGGCAGTACCTACCACCCCTCACTCCAGGTTACCAAACACAGGGAACCAAAGAACCTACCCAATATGGGGGGATGTAGAAATGGCCACATTGTGGTATGACCACAAGATGAAACACTTCACAGCAACGCAGAAGAACAAATACCGATACAGGCAACAAGTCTCAAAAGTACTGAGTGACAGAAGTCAGCCACAAAATAAGACATACAATTCCACTTATTTAAGTTAAGAAGAGGCAAAACTAGTCTAGGGTGACAGAAACTAGAACAGTGGCTGCCTATGGGGGGGCTAGGAGGAGGGACTGACTGAGAAGGGACACAAGAACTTTTCTGGGGTGCTGGAAATAGTGTACATTTTGACAGGGATGTGCATTACACAGATGTATCCACCTGTCAAAACTCACTGCACTGTATACTTAAAATCTGCTTCAATGATTCACTAGGCAGACCACAAAAAGTGCATTTGGTATGTATCCATTCACCTAAGGAACAAGCGCTGTACAAAAACATTCAACTCTAGTTAGCAGTCTGCTTTCTGCAGTGGCATGAGCTAGCAACTCTGACATGCCTTCTGTGACAGCCGGGCTTGAGCCAAGGAGTAAGTATTTTGAGGATGAGCGCCAGGTTGCTCACTTTTGAGAAGAAAGTTACAAATAAGAAAGGGGGAAGAATGTACCCTGTGGTATTCAGCTGAAACTGAAGGCATCAGGACAAGACTCATGGTTTTTAATAGATTAATAGATAGGTAGAGAGATAAAACACTTAAAAGAACCTGCGTTCCTGGTGAAAAAAAGGCTAATTAGAACAAGGAACATAGACAATGAGCCCAGAATATCTTCTTGCGTCACAAAATAAGAACGTGCTCAAAGAATCGTGGAATAGGCTGGGTGTGGTGGCTCACCCTTGTAATCCCAGCACTTTGGGAGGAAGGAGGATCACTTGAGGCCAGTAGTTCAAGACCAGCCTGGGTAACATAGAGAGACCCAGTTTCCTCAAAAAAATTTAAAAAATAAAAAAAATTAGCTGGTTGTGGTGGCGTGTGCCTTAAGTCCCAGCTACTCTGGAGGCTGAGGCAGGAGGATTGCTTGAGCCCACGGGTTCAAGGCTGCAGTGAGCTAATATTGTTACCAGTGTACTCAGCCTGGGTGACAGAGCGAGATCCTGTCTTTGGGAAAAAAAAAGAAAAAAGGAATCATGTAACATGTCAAAATGACAGAGAAGCCAATTTGAAACAACTCTCATGGGCTAAATCTGGAATAATCTGAACATCAAAATAAATAGTAGTAATGATTTATAATCCCCCCCAAATAAAATAAGAGCCATTGAATCCATACAATTATATAAACAAATGAATAAATTACTAACAGCAAACATAGATGGATAAAGAATATTTACAAGAATCACGTTCTAGAAGGAAGGAACCAGGTTCCCTGGAGGAAAGGCTAACTTGAGCAACAACACGAAATGAAGTGCTGACGGTGCGTGCTACGACACGGGCGAGCCAGGAGAGCACCGTGCTAAGTGCAAGACAGCAGATGCGGAAGACACGCATCCTACGACGCTGCATAGGAAATGTCAAGAGACACATCTGTTGAGACAGATTAGGGGTGGGGGGATGGGAGAAAAAGGGGGAGGGGTGATCTAGGGTTTCTTTTTGGTGTGATAAAAACATTCTAAAGTTGATGGAGACGATGGTAGCTCAACTCACCGAATACACTAAAAACCACTATAATGTATACTTTAAGTGTGTGAACTGTATATGGCATGCGAATTATATCTCAATAAAGCTGTTAACAAAAAAAAAAACAACCTAAAATGAGACAAAAAGCCCCTATGTCACACTCACTTGGTCCTCTTGACAAACCTCTGAAGGGCCAAGGCTTAAGACCCCCAATAACAATGAAATATACTAAAACTATTTTCAATAACAAGTGAGAACAGAAGAATTCTACAGCGGCGCTGGAAGGGGAGCCACACCTGCGTTAGGGACTGGGACCCCGCGCCGGGTCGCACAGCCAGCTGTGTGACTGTGGAGAAGGTCCCACACGCCTCGGGGCCTGTCTGCTCATCCACAGAACAAAACGCAGGCTGAAGGTCTTCGAGGCTCCAACACGGTGATCGCACATCACATACCAGCTTTCTCAACTCTGCCGCCCTCTCAACTGACCCGTGTCGTCTTCCTCATTTTGCTTTGAAAGAGCCGCTGGCAGTGACTTGCAGACAGGAACACGGGCCGGGCTGTCAGACCGACCTGGGTTCAGCTCCAGGCTCCACCCCTAAGCGCCTCGGGTAAGTTACTTAACCTCTGAAAATAATTTTCCTCACCTACAATGGGAAGGTGGGGCATGGTATCCCTTGCCTAAGATCTATCTGCCTGGGGACTTGATTTAACGGCAAGCGGTGCCCAGCGCTGCACACGCTGGCTGTCACGCTGCTGGCTCAGTAGGCCCCCTAATCTGGGCTCGATCACCCCATGGAAGTTACACTCCCAGAGGCTCCAAGGAGCTCCTAGCCGCCAAACTCACAGCAGTTTCTGTTTGCATTCTGTCCCGCTCCTCCATAACATCTGTTAAGGTCTCGTTAAAACGCTCCAAGGCTTCTAGTTGGTTCAATATCCTTTGTTTTTCCAAATGATTTCACTAATGATCACGAAATTAACTCAGCAGGTCACAAGCAGGATTTCTTTTTTAATGAAAATATAATTAAATAATCATGAGTATAGTGCAGACAGTATGGGTAAAAACTGTTCCAAGAAACTTTAATTTCCATTTTACATGTCTTTGTGTGTGTTTCAGTTATAGGAAAAAAAACCCAAACAACTGAAAAACAGCACCCTAATGAGCCTGCAGGACGTCACGTTAAGTGAACTAAGCCAGCACAGAGAGACAAATGCCACATGTTCTCACTCACACGTGGGACCTCAAACAGCTGTACTCACAGAAGTGGAGAACAGAGCTGAGGTTGCTGGAGGCTGGGAAGGGCAGGAGGGACGGGAGAGGATGGCTGACAGACACGGAATCACAGCGAGGCGGGAGCAAGTTCTAGCGCTCTACAGCACTGCAGGGTGACTACAGTTGACAAGAATTTATCATATATTTTCACACAGCTAGAACAGAATTTTGAATGTTCTCAACACAAAGAAATGATAAATGAGGTGACAGATATGCTAATTATTCTAAATTGATCATTACACATTGTATATTCTTACGTATCAAAATACCACTCTGTACCCCATAAATACATACAATTATTATGTATTAATTAACATATGAAAAAAAATAGTGCCCTATATGTAGGTAACTGTTCAGTTCTGCTCTCGGTCCCACTGCATTGCTGAGTAATTTGATCTGTTCTTATCACTTTCTCTATGCTGAAAACAATCCAATTCTTACCCCCAGGCAGGGCTGGAACCTGGGCCACCAAGCCAGGCCCTCCGCTGACGCAGCCCCAGCCCTGCCTCCAGCCCAGTCTTGCATTTTCAACTGGCTGCCTAACTTCCCCATTACTGTCGGTCAAAGTCAACAGCTACAAAGCTGAGCCCCCCTTTCTGCAAATCCTTTTCTTCCTGATTGTCCCTGATAATAACTACCACCTACTACTGAGTAGCTACTATGGTCCAGACACTTCTCAGACATTATCTCCATCCTTCAGAACAATCCTACTTGGTCTTCAATTAATATAGGAGGAAGATGAGGCTCAGACAGGGTAAATGGTAATTTATTCAATTTACTCACATGCTAGAAAAGATAACAATGAAGTGCAAACCCACATTTCTGGCTCCAAATTCCCCCATCTGCCCTTCCCATCACACCTGGTTAGCATAATGTAAAGTGAAATAACCACTTTCGGTTACTTTTCTGCACCAACTAGGACGCAGCATTAGCTCTCACACAGTGAGAGAGCCCCTGCCTTCCTTCCACACATCTGAGGTACAGCCTGCCACTGAAGGACCGATTCTCGCACTGCCCTCGCACTGCCGGGAAGGAAGGAGGTATGGATTTAGGGACTGCCCCTGGGGGATTTAGGGATTGCCCCTGCTGGCTACAGAAAAGCGCCCACAGAGATGGAGACGCTCTCCCACAGAAAATGCCTGCGCCCGGGGAAGGGTGCGCGCATCTGTGCACTGACCGCAACATTAGCTCACTTAGGCTGCACAGCACCCTGCGAACTGGGATGCACCTGGCTTTACAGATCCCTGAAACGAGTGTCAAACAACTGGCTAGGCGTAAAGCTAGGTTCAAACTCTGTCCTTCTACTGCATATGCTGTCACCCTCCTGTCCACACACTCAACCAAATACCAAGTCCTATCAAGAGCATAAAATGTCTCTTGTTTCTCCCTTCCACGCCACTGTGGCGGCTTCTAGATTAATCTGGGTCTTCCTTATCTTTCATCTGTGCTTCTGATCACCAATGTGCACGGCACTGCAGTAAAATGGTTCAAAGAACAGGCTCTAAAGTCAAGTGACGGAATTCTGAAACTCAACTGGCTTGCTGTGCGGCCTGGAGCAAGATATTTAACCTCTCTGTGCTTTAATGTTACTCAGAAAACAGGGATAAGTACCTCCCTTATCGACGGGGTAAAAGGATTAAATGAGATCATGTGTTTTTCTAGGTCTTCAGCTTCTCTGCCATGAAGGTAATGCAGTAACCCAGGGGATGCTTAACAGCTGCCAAATGAAAACATGAAAAGCAAAAAATGCCATCTGTGCTACGATTTCAGCCATAGAAATTTAAGTCTTCACATGGCACGGCACTCAAACAAGTGGGCATGTTTTGCGACAGGTTATAAACATTCCAGTATAGAGTATTTGGGCAATACAACTTCTCATACTCGTCAGGCCAACATATGTCCTTCTAAATAAAGCGCGACACCGTAGCATTTAGGGCCTGGTTCCCACTGACCTGTCTGCCCTCACCTATCACTACTTTGCTTCAGATACAGTCTGTTCCAGCTAAGCCAAATCGTTCAGCGTAGCTGATGACTACTGAGCTGGACTAGTCTATGTTCTCAGTTAATCCTTGTAACTACTTTGAGGTGGGTACTACTAACACCTCTATTTCGCAGATGAAGAAACTAAGGCACAGAGTTCTCTGCTAGTCCAAAGCCATAAGTTTAAGTGGTTTGAACCCAGGCACTGTAACTACAGGGCCTGGCTGTTAACCTCTGTGCACCTCTGCCCAGTGCCCATGCCCCATCCTCAGCTCACACTCAGAGGTGCCTTCTCCCACATTTTCCTTAGCCTGCCTAAAGTGCCAGTGCCCCACATTTTCCTTGGCCTATCTAAAATGCCGTTTCCTTCCTGAAGCCCTGGAGATTCCCACAGCACCCAGCAATTTCTACTTTGTATTACGGGTTGTTTTTGTTTTTGAGACAGTCTCAATCCCTTGCCCTGGGTAGAGTGCAGTGGCGTCATCACAGCTCACAGCAACCTCAAACTCTTGGGCCCAAGTGATCCCCCTGCCTCAGCCTCCCGAGTAGCTGGGACTACAGGTATGCCACCACACCCAGCCATGTATTAGGGTTATTTTAATTATCTACTGTTCCTCATGTAGCCCTTGTTCATCTCTGCAGCACTCTTCAACTAGCTCAGGGTCTAAGTATTTACAGGGTAGGATTTCTCATAAGATGATGTTCTCACTCTGGCAGACCAAAGGGCTTTATTTGCTAGAGTCCAAAAAGAGACAGGGAGGTTACAAGAGAGATGGAGAACGAATGGGCAAGTTCCCTCTTCACATTCAAATCTTCCCAATCTTTCCATCAGCTGCTGATAAAACACATGAAAACACAAGCCTGCTTTCTTCTAGTCAAATGCATCAGGTGGTATTCTCAACTCATGCCTGAGGCCTTTACCCCTCCCCACAACACACAGAGATAATTACAAGACAACAAAACATCCCTGTTGTAAGGAATCTTAGGTCTCATGCAGTAAAACCTCCTCATTTTGCAGATAAGGAAACTGAAGCCCAGAAAGGAGACGCCACCTGCCCAAGGTTACACCACTGTTCAAATCAGCCAGGACACTACAACCACGTTTGGAAGGGGAAAAGGCAGCAACGTGCTTTAGGTCCAGTGAACTTTCCCTTAAAAGCTGATTACACACTCCCTGAAGGTGCCCACTCTACAGCATCCAAGTCACAAACCAGAAAACTCGCTCTCGCGTCACTGCTCCTTAAAGGATAAGTGTGAGTTCCATCTTAGCCGCTAGCCTCAGCACCTACTCCCCTCCCAAGAAAATAAATCCTCCCACAAAGCTACACAATTCCCAGCAGGGACACACACAAAAACGGTCAGTCTGGAATTCTCCTGACTGGGAAGACAAGAGGACCATCAGAGCTGAGACAACCCCTCTGGAAGGATGACAGTCCCGCAACCCGCCCAGGGCACAGGGGAGCGGGGCAAGCGCTCTTGGGGGGCGGGAAGGTCTCCCCGCCCGCAGGGCTCGGCGACCCGGGCCCGGGGGACAGCGGGCCGAGGTGCTGCCCGTGACAGGAGTGGCCCGCGGGGCGGTGGCAGGTGGAAGAAGACACTGGGACGAGGGCTGGGGCGAGTGTCGGCGGGGCGTGAGGGGTCAGAGGGGACACGGAGGGTCGGCGGGGCGTGAGGGGTCAGAGGGACACGGAGGGTCGGCGCGGGCGGCGTGACGGGTCAGAGGACACGGCAGGGTCGGCCGCGTGAGGGTCAGAGGGGACACGGAGGGTCGGCGGCGTGAGGGTTAGAGGGGACACGGGGGTGGCAGGGCGTGGAGGGGTCAGAGGGGACAGCGGAGGGTCGGCAGGGCGTTGAGGGTCAGAGGGACACGGAGGGGTCGGCAGGGCGTGAAGGGGTCCAGAGGGGGACACGGGGGTCGGGCAGGCGTGAGGGGTCAGAGGGGACACGGAGGGTCGGCGGGCGTGAGGGGTCAGAGGGAACACGGAGGGTCGGCGGGGCGTGGAGGGGTCAGAGGGACATCAGGAGCCGGAGGGTCGGCGGGGCGTGAGGGGTCAGAGGGGACACGGGAGGGTCGGCGGGTAAGGCCGTGAGGGGTTTGAGGGGACACGGAGGGTCGGCGGGGCGTGAGGGGTCAGAGGGGACACGGAGGGTCGGCGGGGCGTGAGGGTTTGAGGACACGGAGGGTGCGGGGCGTGAGGATCAGAGGGGACACGGAGGTCGGCGGGGCGTGAGGGTTTGAGGGACACGGAGGGGTCGGCGGGGCGTGAGGGGTCAGAGGGGACACGGAGGTCGGCGGCGCGCGTGAGATCAGAGGGACCGGCGGAGGGTCGCGGGCGTGAGGGGTCAGAGGGACACGGAGGGTCGAAGCGGGGCGTGAGGGGTCGATGGAGGACACGGAAGGGGGTCCGGCGGGGCGTGAGGGTCAGAGGGCGAACACGGAGGGTGCGGCGGGCGTGAGGGGTCAGAGGGGACACGGAGGGTCGGCGGGGCGTGAGGGGTCAGAGGGACAACGGAGGGTCGGCGGGGCGTGAGGGGTCAGAGGGGACACGGAGGGTCGGCGGGGCGTGAGGGGTCAGAGGGGACACGGAGGGTCGGCGGGGCGTGAGGGGTCAGAGGGGACCACGGGTGATCGCAGGGCGTGAGGGGTCAGAGGGAACACGGGGGGTCGGCGGGGGCTGTGAGGGGTCAGAGGGGACAACGGAGGGTCGGCGAGGGACACGGAGGGTCGGCGGGGCGTGAGGGTCAGAGCGGGAACACGGAGGTCGGCAGACGATGCAGGAGTCAGTAGGGGAACACAGGCGAGGGTCGGCACGGGCGGTGAGGAGGTCAGAGGGAAACACGGAGGGTCGGCGGGGCGTGAGGGGTCAGTAAGGACGTGGGGGGCAGCGAGGTTAGGGGTCAGAGGGCGACGGGAACGAGGCACGAGAGGCTCTGCGGAGCCAGAAACAAACGCGAGCTCGGGAACAGAGCAGAGCCGGGGCGCGCGCGGACCTCCCACTGTTCCAGAAGCCGCGCCATGTCCGACAAGTCAATGTGCAGTCGACGAAATGCCTCCATATACGTTTCCTTATTCCGGGCGACAACACACCAAGGGCCAGCCTCGCCAGGCGTCCCGGCCGGGCCCTCGGCCGCGCAGGCCTCGCGTGGCGACAGCAGCAGCAGCAGGTCGGAGGCGCAGAGCAGCAGCAGCGCCGCGCGCGCCCAGCCGGAGGCCGCCATCTTCGCCGGGTGCCCGCCGCGCACGCGCCCCAGGCCCGCCCCCTCGGCCCTAGCCGCCCTCCAGGCTCCGCCCCCGTGAACGCCCCGACTCCGCCCCCGCGGACGCACAGCCCCGCCCCTCGCCGGCCTCCCGGCCCCACCCCACCGGCGCAGGCTCCCGTGGCCCCGCCCCTCGGCCCTTGCCGGCCTACCGGGCCCCGCCCCGTCTCATTCTCGTAGGTCCCCCACCTCCGGAAGCCCCGCCCCCCGCCCCCTTGGTCCCGCCCCGCGGTCCGCCCGGGCTGGGTCCGTCCCAGTTCCCGTCTCCGGAACGCTCTGGCCGGGTCCCGGGCACCGCCGGGCCCTGCAGGGGCGGCCAGCAGCTCCCGCGAGACCTGCTTGTCGCCTGGGAACTGCCCCGGGGCGGGAGCGGCGCGGCCCGGGCCCCGGCGACGCCCACTCGGGCCCGCGGCTGCCTCTGCGGGCCGCGGCGTTCCCGAAGGTCCGGGACGGGTCGGGCTCGGAATTCGCTTCGACCGGCTCTCGGTACCGCCGGCGTCGCCAGAACGCGAGTTTTTAAGTCACGTGGTCCGCTTCTCGGGAACGGCGTGGGCGTTTGGTCCCGCCGACGCCGGGCTCCAGCGCCCCTTCCCGAGGGCGCGTCGTCGCGCTGGCTCGTTTCTCTGAGGTCCCAGGACGCGCGATGGCCGCGAGACCACGCGGCGGCTCCTCGGCCTCTGCGCCCGGCCTCCCTCTCACCCCCTTCCGTTTACCGGCCTGTGGCTTCCATCCTCAAGGTCATCTTAAGTTCCAGGATGGCCACTGCAGCTCCAGCCATCGAGATGACATCGCCCAGAGGAAGGCCGGCCAAACGGCACACCGTTCAAAGGGAGTCGACTTCTTTTAAGCAGCCTACTTAAACGTTGCACACAGTACTTCTGTTTACGTCTCGCTGGCTGAGAGCTTGTCTCCTAGCTGTGTACACTGTCACCTCAAATAAAATTGGGATTCTGCTATCCAAGGGAAAACAATAAAGTGGGGGTTGAGTAAGCAACTGTCGAGCAACATCTGCCTTCCTTCACTCTTAGGACGAATGCAGTTTAAATTCTCTCCCACCGTAGTGGCAGTTGATAGTCCACACATTCGTGCATGCATCTCTACGTAAACACCCTATGCTATGACATTTCCTATTGACATTGAACAGAAACAACTCATAAAGGTTTTTTTTTTTTTTTTCCTTCCCCTGAAATCATAGGGGAAATGTCATAAGCTTTCTCCCCGGAGCACACTGCTCCACCCAGTGGCTTGGAGCCCTGTCCTGGTGCAGTCATACTAAAAAACATGCACAGCTGTGGCTGATCATGTGCTCTGTTGGGAGGGGTCGCCCTGGTAACTCATTTGCCAGCTTCCAAGTTAAGGGGCAAAAGTGCTGGGGTTCTTGGCCACAGTAACTAGTTATAGATTTATAAAAGTCATTAAGAGTTTTACGGAAATTGTTGGGACTGTGTAAAGAATTCCAGGGCTACTGACTTTCATCTAAGCAGGAAATCAATTTAGCATATAATCCACTGATGTGAAAACATCTGGATCGATTGCAGTTTCAACATTTTGATATTTGACACTTATTTTGGTATTTGGAACTTCACTCTGGAGGAATTTATTTACTAAGGACCTACTGTTAATCAAGATCCAGGTGAGGCACTGACAGATTAATATAACAGAATTCCTGCTTTTGGACTAGCAGAGGAGATAAGTGCACAATAAACTTCATGCAGATTATGGGAGGTCAGGGCCTGAAGGGATGATAATATCCCTATTTTATTTTATTTTATTTTATTTTTGAGACACAGTCTCACTTTGTTGCCCAGGCCAGAGTGAGTGGCATCAGCCTAGCTCACAGCAACCTCAAACTCCTTGGCTTAAACGATCCTCCTGCCTCAGCCTCCCGAGTAGCTGGGACTACAGGCTTGTGCTACCATGCCCCACTAATTTTTTGTATATATATTCTTAGTTGGTCAATTAATTTCTTCCTATTTTTAGTAGAGATGGGGGCTCGCTCAGGCTGGTTTTGAACTCCTGACCTTGAGCAATCCGCCCGCCTCAGCTTCCCAGAGTGCTAGGATTACAGGCGTCAGCCACCACGCCCAGCCAATATCCCTATTTTAAATAAGAGGAAACTCTCGGTTTGGAATTACATCACTGGCCTGAGCCACATGGCCAGTGCGGCAGCAAGACACGGATGTGAGCCCAGGTGTGCTGGACGACGAGGTCCAGTCTTCCCTGGTGCCTTTCTTCCTCGTAGCACCACTGGGCTCATCAGTCAGGCTCTCAGGCTAGTGAAACTGGGAGCCACACGGAAAATGGACTGAAAAGAGTCTGGAGCCAGGGGCAGTGAGGTGGGACGGGAGACTGAACTGGCTCTGAGGCGGTGCGGTGCGGTGCAGGGCTGGAGAGGACAGGAAAGAAGCGAGAGACACTGTGTGGTCACAGCCTGAATGAAGCCCCTGGCCTCTCTTCCCCCTGGGGTTACTACTGACCCCACTGCTGAGTGATCCAGCCACTGTATATGGTAACATTTAACCTCAGATCAATTAGTGTCCTAACCTGAGCTCCTGGCATGTATCACCCCACGAGAGAGGAGAGTAAGGCAAGACTTTCTAGCACTATTTGGAATCGGGCAGGGGCGATACTCAAGATGGTGAAAAACTGGAATAGCACAATTATCAGTTAATCAGAACTGAGACCTGTGACCTGAAGGGGAGTCCCTGTTACGCCAAACACGAACCCTTTAATGACTAAACCGTGGCACGGTGCAGGAGGAGGGGTCGGGGGCATAGCTGAGGTAGGAATGGGGGCCCAATGACTATTCACCATGTTTCACTTTTGCTGCTTTTTAGTCTAATGCAAGAACAGAGGTGCTGCATACTTTCTGGGTTTTATATGCCTCTAAATTTACACTCTTTAAAATTTTTAATTACAAAGAAAGACATGAATCATTTGCTTTAGTTGTTAGCTTTGTGTTGCAACTAATTGGTTGCCTTTTGATTGCAATTTCACATTTTCAGTAGAGAATGTGATTGGCCCAGCCTGGGACAGGTGTCTGTTCCTGGGCATCATGCCCATTATCTGTGCACACGAGAGCAGGACTCATAGACTTAAACATAGCAGTTAAAACTTGTGTTTGCCAAACACCATGAAAAAAAAAGCTAAAAGGCAAACAATAAATTGGGAGAACAATGGCAACATGGTATATACAAAAATAGCTTACAAATCAGAAAGAAAAAGATGAACACCTCAGCGAAAAATGGGACTGGCTACAAACAAGTATAAATATAGAATAGATATAAATAGAATAAATACAATATAAATGGCTAATTCATCTATGACAAAAAAAAACCAGAATCTCACTAGGTATCAAAAAATGCAAATTGAAACAAAGTATCATTGTTCACCTATCGATTGGTCTTGGATAAAAATAAAGACACTATATTTTTTCTTGGCAAGGCTGAAGAAATAGGCCTTCTCAGTCGCTTCCGGGAGGTAGAGTTTTTCTGCATGAAAATTAGGTGAAATATATCAAACCCCTCCATAATGTGCACAATCTGATTAGCAATTCTACTTCCAAGTACTGACTCTGAGGAAACAGACAATGAAAATAATAGAAATGATGATAATACTGAGCACTTAGGATGTGGCAGGCACGTGTCCAAATGTTTCACATATTTCTTCACCTGCCCCTTATAACAATCCTACCTAACACTCTCCATAAGACGGAAGACAGGAACCACCCAAGTGTCTCAAAAAATAGCAGACTGTAAAATCTACGGTTACAGATTGCAAGATATAGTCCACTCACACCATCCAAACAATGCAATCACTGCATATAATGAGCTATCATACATGTATATTTGTTGCTACTAAAGATGTTCACTTTATATTATTAAATGATAAAATGGCATTGAAATCATATAGATATGTATATTTATGAGTAGGAAAATAGCTGCAAATATGCATATAATGGCTATCTCTAAGCAGTGAGGTTTCAAATTATTTTAACCTTTTCTCTGTATGTTCTATTTTCCTCCACATCTAACATATATCAGTTGTGTTTTAAATGGGAAAGCCACACAAACACGCAGATGCTCACAAAATTTGTGTGCACAAAAAAAAAAAACCCAGAGAGACATTGATCCATAGGGAAGGTACATTAGGCCAAAGAATGTTGACCACCAGGTGGCACTGTACACAAAACACAGCTTGGTGTTGGCCCATAAAGTCTAAGGTGCCATGTAAAAGTTGGTATGGAAACCCAGAGTGGGGCCGGGCAGGTGGCTCATGCCTGTTAATCCCAGCACTTTGGTAGGCGGCAGATCAATTGAGGTCAGGAGTTCAAGATCAGCAGTGAGACCTCATCTCTTAAAAAAAAATCAGAGTGCTTAAGATGGAATATTACTCAGCCTTAAAAAGTAAGGAAGTTCAAGGCCCGCACCGTGGCTCACGCCTGTAATCCTAACACTCTGGGAGGCCGAGGTGGGAGGATCGCTTGAGCTCAGGAGTTCGAGACCAGCCTGAGCAAGAGCCAGACCCCGTCTCTACTATAAATAGAAAGAAATTAGCCAAACAACTAAAGTTAGAAAATATTATCCAGGTATGGTGGCGCATGCCTGAGTCCCAGCTACCCCGGAGGCTGAGGCAGGAGGATCGCTTGAGCCCAGGAGTGTGAAGTTGCTGTGAGCTAGCTAGGCTGATGCCACGGCACTCTAGCCCAGACCACAGAGTGAGACCCTGTTTCAAAAAAAAAAAAAAAGTAAGGAAATTCTATTACACTCCAGCTTGGGTGACAGAGTGAGACCCTGTCTATCTAATAAAAAAAAAAAGGAAATTCTGACACGCTACAACCTTAGACACATTATGCTAAGTGAAATGAGCCAGACGCAAAAGGATAAATACCGTATGACCCCATTTATATGAGGTCCCTCCAGCAGTCAGATCCACAGAGACCCGTGGTTGCTAGGCTGGGGTGGGGGGATGGGGGTTGTTGTTAACAGGGACAGAGTTTCAATTGGGGAGATGACAAGAGCTACATGGTGGTGACGGTTGCACAACAATATACTTAACACCACTGAGCAGTATACTTAAAAGTGGTTAAGATGGTACATTTCATTTTACCACGATTTAAAAAACAAAAACAAATCTGAGTGCCCACACTGTTCCCTGTGCCTTCTAAAACAGGCAAAAGGGGGAGAGTAAGTTTCCCCGATCCTGCCTGCCCCAGCTCTGTTGGTTCCACTTTTACCTGCCCAAGTCCTCGCTCAGTTCTCTCTGCATCTTGCTCACTTACCAAATGCCTGCTCTGCACGGGCCCTGGGCCAGCCCCGAGCATGCCCGCTGCAGGGGCCCGGCACCCTCCCTCCTGCCCGCTCCGTTTACCTTCCCCCCCAGCCCATCCTCAGTCCACAGGTTTTCAGTGTTCTTCTCTCGCCCAACGTCCATTTCAGCAAAAAATATTATTTTAGTCCATTTGTGCACTGTAACAAAATACTGCAGACAGGGTAATTTATAAACAATAGGAATCTATGGCTTACAGTTCTGGAGGCTGGGAAGTCCAAGACCCGGGTGCCCACAGACTCTGGGCCTGGTGAGGGTCCACTTCTTATAGGTGACACCTTGTTGCTGCATCCTCACATGACCCAAGGACAAAACGGAGAGGTGAACCGTCCCCTCACCCCACTTTTATAAGGTCACTACCCCCATGGATGAAAGCTCCACCCTCACGGTTTAACCACCTACTAAAGGCCCCGCCTCTTAATACCGTCCCACTGGCGACTTAAGTCTCAGCGTGTGAATTTGGGGGGTTAGACCACAGCGAACATGTTGCGCAAGACTTGGGTTCACGTTTATTTTAATTTTAAAAGAGGGTCAGAACAGGTAATAGGTGGAGTTTTCTAAAGAAAAAAAAACTCCAGTGACTCTAGGGCCAGACACAAACAAGCCCTCCTCTACTAATCAAATTAGACTAAAATATGCTACCGTGCAGCAAATGACCCTCAAATATCAATGGCTGAACACAACAAACGTTTATTTTGTGCAACTGTTACACATCCAATACAGGTCAGGAAGGACACAGTCACCTGGGCTTACCCGCTCCACAAACCCCGGAGTCTCCCACCACAGGTATTTCCAGCGGGGTGAGAGAAAGGGCAGAGAATCCCAGGTTGGCTTTTCACGGTGGGGCCTGGCAGTAGTAACACAGGTCACCACCGCTCACCTTTCGCTGGTGAGGACAAATCACAGGGCCCCGCCTGCCTGCAGCTAAAGCGTTTGGCCGGCCACACAGTCTCTGCTGTAACTTCTTTACCGCACCAGCGCTGAAACTGGGGTTCCTTGCTTGTGACCCTGTCGCCCGCCCTGGACGGTAACGGTCAAGACTGGAGGCCTCAGGTTACTTACTATGAGGCTTTGGCGCCCGGCGGCGTCTGCGGAGTGAATGAACAACCGCAGAAAGTCAGGGTCAATCTACTGGTAGTCGGAGGTAGCACCTGGCAGGGTCAGTTCAGGGAGCTGACCTCTCTGGAAAACAAAGCAGAGAAGGCCAAGAAAACAATCCTACCAATTTTTTTTACTTTTTACTTTTTTTTTTTTTCGAGTCCACTGCAGGTAGCAGCAAATCCTACCAATGTTTAAAGCTAAACCAAACCTCACTGCATAGAGCGCGGCAGTCTGTGGGTGACACAGCTCATTGTCGGGCTGGGTTTCCAGCAATAACAAAACAAACTGCACACACAGAAGAAAGGAAAATACAACTCCAGGGGCCCCAAATGCCTCTGGATAAAAATCCCAATCCCAGAGCAGTTTCCTGAATAAACTGGGCATAGCAGAAAGGTTTGACTTCCCCCTTGTAGTAAGTCTTTGGAGCTAAGAAAGACCAAGGTGCAATCCCTAGCCACCGTGGAAGAAGCCTGTTCTCCCCTTTTTTTTTTTGAGACAGAGTCTCACTCTGTTGCCCAGGCTAGAGTGAGTGCCGTGGCATCAGCCTCGCTCACAGCAACCTCCAACTCCTGGCTCAAGTGATCCTCCTGCCTCAGCCTCCCGAGTAGCTGGGACTACAGGTATGCACCACCATGCCCAGACAATTTTTTCTATATATATTAGTTGGCCAATTAATTTCTTTCTATTTATAGTAGAGATGGGGGTCTCCCTCTTGCTCAGGCTGCTTTCAAACTCCTGACCTCAAGCAATCCACTCGGCCTCCCAGAGTGCTAGGATGACAGGCGTGAGCCGCCACGCCTGGCCCGGCCGCCTGTTCTTCCTTGTAGAAGAATAAAGGGAATAACCCTACAGAATGACTGCCTGTTTCCAAAGTTGTCAGTTGTATTGACCTCTGCTTGCAAAATTTTTTTAAGTGGGTTCATCCAGATTCCAGAAGATATCTAAGGACACTTTCCGTTATAAGCAAGGTGACCATCCACTCAGGTTTGTACCTGTCGTTCCTGCTTAATTTACGAATAGCATGTCTCACAGCTCACTCTCAGAGCTGTTTGGGTTTGGACGATAAATTGCAATTCGTCCTGGTTATAAGCAACGATTATAACTGGCTCGAAAAAGGTGACTTGGGGTCCTAGGGAGGAGCAGAGGGACAGCCGCGTGGCTGAGCCTTCAGCTTGTGTGGGGCTGGGCACCTGCCTGGAGGGCCTGTTTCAAGACCAAGACCTGGCATTCTGCTGGGAGGACGCCCAGGTGTTCCAGCCACTTCCTGAAGAAGGAGGGGGTGGGGGTGGAGGGACCTCGGTGCCCAGCCATCTGCATCTTCCCGCCCGGCAGTTTCCCATCTGCAAACTGGAATGTTTGCTCCAAAGGCGCCTCTCCTAGCAAGCCTATTCGCTGTTACTCCGTATGTAAACGAGGTAGAGCGAGGAGAGGGCAAACTGTGGTCAAAGCGCACAGTAATTCTAACAGCGACCACTTACGAATCACGCAGCCGGTGCACGCTGCCCGATTTCCAGAAGGGAAAGCGGGGTGCTGGGGAGACAGAACTTGCAGGAGGTCACGGCTCCCCCCTGGCGGGGCAAGAGTGACCCGGGACCCGGCTCGGGCCCGCGCTGACCACACAAGGCACGTTTCCAGGGAGGGAGCGGCCCCCACCTGGCCCCACCCGGGCCCCGCGTGCAGGACTCCTGTCCTGTGTCCGTGTCGCCGGCCGCCCGCAGCAACCCGCGGCCAGGAGGACCAGGCACAACAAAGGGCAGGGGGCGCGCGTGGAAGACCGGTCCAAGTCCTGCGCCCGAGGACAGGCCCCCCGCAAGTCACCGGGGATGGCACCGAGTGTCCTCCTCCTTCGGCCCGGAGGGCGGGTCACCTTTCGGACTTGCTCCCTCGCGGGGAGGAGGCGGGGAGCCCCCGGCCCTGCCGCAAGCTTACGCAAGGCCAGCGCGGGCTGCGCCCGGGCCCCTCGGTGCGCGCGGAGCCCCGGCCCGGGCGGGCCTGCCTGGCCCAGTCCCGGCGCGGCCAGGGGCGGCGGGGAGGCCGGGCCGCGGCCCGGGGCGCGCTGGGCGGCGGCGCCCTCGCAGCCGCTTCCCGGGGGAGGAGCAGCGCATCGCGCAAGCATCCGGGAGCGGCGCAGGGGGCGGAGGAAGGGCGAGAGGAGGAAGCGGGATTTAAACGAGAGGCGGTGACGCCACACAAAAGGCTTCCATAGGCTCCGGCGGCGGCGGCGCCGGGCGCGGCGGACGGGAAGAGGGAAGAGGGCACCGCGCGCGGAGGAAGCGGCGCTCCCGGCTGCCGCCCCGCCCTTCCTCTCGGTGCCCGCGCTCGGAAGTTGGCGCTGCCGGACATGGCAGGGCGCGGGGCCCGGGCCGGCCGCCGCAGCGCCGCGGGGACCTTCTGAGCGCGCCGGGGACGCGCGGGGTCCGATGCGGGGCGCGCGGGGCCGCGGGGGAGCTCAGCCGCTGCGGGCCCGCGACGCGCAGGCGACGGGGATGGACTCGCGCCCACAGCCAGCGGCCGGCCGCCGGGCGCGCGGCCCGGGAGGGCGTGCGGCCGCGGGCCCCGGCTGCGCCCTGTGAGCCCGAGAGGCGGGAACGGGCTCGCCGTGCCGGGCACGCCCGGGCGCGGTGGGCGGGCGACAGCGCGAGCGGGGCGGCCGCTGTGCGCAATCAGCGCAGCCTCCCGCCCGACTCCGACTGCGCGGCCGCGACAGCGCCGGCCACACCCTCGGCCCTGCCGCCGGCGCCGCGTCCCGAGAGCGGGCGGCGGGAGATGCGCGCGGGGCGGCCGCGCGTCCCGCACAGCCAGCCCGGGCCGCCGTCGCGGGGTCGCGCCGCCTGAAGCCCACGTGCGCCGCGGGCCGGAGGTGGCCCCCAGCGGCTCCTGCAGGACAGCCGGCCGCCGCGCAGCGCCCGAGGAAGGGATTTCGGTTTCAAAGGAAGGAAGGAAGGAAGGACAACTCCCAGCCACCCGCCCCGCCCTCCGCTCCGGCGGCCGCGCCGGGTCATGCCCAGAAAGGCGGCGGCGGCCCAGCGCAAGGGACTTTCCTGGCGGCGCGGCGACGAGGAGCAAGGACCGTGAGTTCGCCCTGCCCCGGTTCATGGTTCCGGCCAGCCCGCCAGCAGGCCCGACGCCGAAGCCGCTGCCCGCGCCCCGAAGGGTCTCCCGCGCCCCCTGGCCCGCGGGCCGACGCCCCGCCGCAGCCCAGCGCCCTCTGCCCGCGGCGGTGGATGGCATGATGGTGCGGGGAAGGCACCGCGTCCCGGGCCAGCACAGTCGCGACGGCCGCCGGGGCGGCGGTGGTGGTAGCGGGCTCCCCAGCGGCATGCCAGTGCCCCCCGGGCGCGATGGCTAGCGGCAGCGCGGGGAAGCCCACTGGCGAGGCGGCTTCTCCGGCTCCTGCGAGCGCCGTCGGCGGGGCCGGCTCGCAGCCGCGGAAGAGGCTGGTGTCCGTGTGCGACCACTGCAAGGCCAAGATGCAGCTGGTGGCCGACCTGCTGCTGCTGTCCAGCGAGGCGAGGCCCGTGCTCTTCGAGGGCGCCGCCGCCGCGGGCGCGGGCGCCGAGTCCTTCGAGCAGTGCCGGGACACCATCATCGCGCGCACCAAGGGGCTCTCCATCCTCACGCACGACGTGCAGAGCCAGCTCAACATGGGCCGCTTCGGGGAGGCGGGGGACAGCCTGGCGGAGCTGGGCGACCTGGTGGTGTCGCTGACCGAGTGCTCGGCGCACGCGGCCTACCTGGCGGCCGTGGCCACGCCGGGCGCGCAGCCCGCGCAGCCGGGCCTGGTGGACCGCTACCGCGTGACTCGCTGCCGGCACGAGGTGGAACAGGGCTGCGCCGTGCTGCGCGCCACGCCGCTGGCCGACCTGACGCCGCAGCTGCTGCTGGAGGTGTCGCAGGGCCTGTCGCGCAACCTCAAGTTCCTGACGGACGCGTGCGCCCTGGCCAGCGACCGGTCGCGGGACCGCTTCTCGCGCGAGCAGTTCAAGCTGGGCGTCAAGTGCATGAGCACGAGCGCGTCGGCGCTGCTGGCCTGCGTGCGCGAGGTGAAGGCGGCGCCCAGCGAGCTGGCGCGCGGCCGCTGCGCGCTCTTCAGCGGGCCGCTGGTGCAGGCGGTGGGCGCGCTCGTGGGCTTCGCCACCGAGCCGCAGTTCCTGGGCCGCGCGGCCGCCGTGAGCGCCGAGGGCAAGGCGGCGCAGACGGCCATCCTGGGCGGCGCCATGAGCGTGGTGTCGGCCTGCGTGCTCCTGACCCAGTGCCTCAGGGACCTGGCGCAGCACCCCGACGGGGGCGCCAGGACGTCGGACCACAGGGAGCGGCTGCGGAGCTCGGCCTGCGCCGTGTCCGAGGGCTGCACCCTGCTATCTCAGGCTTTACGGGAGAGGTCTTCGCCCCGGACTTTACCGCCAGTGAATTCCAATTCTGTGAATTAGCGCCCCGAGCCCCTCTCTCCACGCAGGCCAAGGGAAGTCCCTCTCTCTCCGCCCCTCTCCGTTTATACCAAAGAGCTCACAGGTGAAGCCCGCGCCTCCGCCCGCCCGGCGTGCACGCTCCAGAGGAGGCCTGGGGAGACAGGGCTGTGCGCACGGGTGACGCGGGGCTGAGCGCACAGGTGACGCGGGGCTGAGCGCACGGGTGACGCGGGGCTGAGCGCACAGGTGACAGGTGACGCGCCCGAGGGCCCAGGTGGCCGCCAGCCCCGCAGCCAGCCGGGACTGGGAGGTGGAAGGTGTGTGATCTGCTGGCTGCGGGGTGACTCCCGCCCCTACCCCAGCCCATCTTCCCGAATTTCTCAACTAAATTTTATTATCAATTAGGCAGGAAGGAGGTCATGGGTTCATTTCTTTTTTTGGTTTTGTTTCTGTCTTCTTTTAATGAAAAGAAAGGTTACCTCAGTTTTCACTCCTTAGACATGGATGTAGCTACCTTTTTTTTGTATGTCGTTATTATTTTTTTTTTTAAGCGACTGTGTTGAATTAGGAGTATCCTTGGTGTGGGAAGAGTATGACGTTGCCATGTGATTTGCAATTGGGGGGAAGCTACTGTGAGCGTGTGTTTTATTTTTTAATTTACACTATAGAGCGGTTTTTTTTTTCCCTCCCCCAACGTCAAGTTTTTACCTTGCATGTACTGGAGTATTTATTTCATCTATTAAAATGTTATGTTTCTCAGATGGCTTATTGCAATTGTTTTTTCAATAATTGTGATTTTGCATGCTGCATGTATGGAAGGGGTCTATGGAGAGGCCCTTCAGTCTTAGGGAGGTGGGTCCCCATTCCCAGCCCTTCCTGCTTTTCCCCCAAGAATTACTCCTTTGAGTGGCCTAGTGTCGCAAGAAAAGAGGACTGTGTATGACATTCTATTTTTAAAAGCAGATGACACAAACGTTATTGGATTATGCACAGAGCTTGGGATGAGCTGTAAGTGGGGGGTTTTGTCCTACCTCTGGTTTCTCTTGGACAGTCATGTAGCTTCCTTTGTGGCGACTCATCTTTCCTTCGCAGAGGACAGGAGTTCAGGCCGGCTGAGGTCAGGTTTGTATGCTGCCTGTGATTTTCAGGTGAAAGCACCTCCTAATCCCGTGTGGTGTGGCCGCCTTCCTGGCTTGGAGTGTCTAGGTACTGAGCTGTAAAAAGTACTGTGTATTAAGAGTACTTGGCTGGGCACAGTGGCTCACGCCTGTAATCCTAGCACTCTGGGAGGCCGAGGCGGGAGGATCGCTCAAGGTCAGGAGTTCAAGACCAGCCTGAGCAAGAGCGAGACCCCATCTCTACTGTAAATAGAAAGAAGTTAGCTGGACAACTAAAAATATATAGAAAAAATTAGCCGGGCATGGTGGCGCATGCCTGTAGTCCAGCTACTCGGGAGGCTGAGGCAGGAGGATTGCTTGGGCCCAGGAGGCATTGCCCTGTAACAGGACAACAGGGTGAGACTGTGTCTCAAAAAAAAAAACCAAAAAAAAAAATACTTAGCATCCTTTATGTAGACAGGTCTATTAGGACGAGATCCTCATGGTTTTAGGAAATGCAGAGCATCCTAGACTGTTTAATGGAGAAAGAGGTGTTCTGGAAAGCGTTAAGAACTTTCTAGAGCCACGGCATAATTGCAGGCAAAGCGCCTAGTTTTGTGGCCTTGATCTCAGGTGTGCCATGGTTGGTGGTATGTTAGAAGAATGCTTTGTTGATTGATATTTGGAGTTATATTAAGGCAGTTTGTCACTTCTGCAGACATTTTAAGGAATTTTTTTTTTTTTTTTTGTCTAGTGGTGGTGCAGATGTATAGTTTGACTGAACTTAGTTAAATCTTGAACATTTTCCCACTAAAAGCACAACAGATTTATTTACAGTGCTTGAAGCCTGGGAGGGCCACATGGGTAAAAGCTCATACATGCTTTAAATTTGTTCAGTTTACATTTTTCTTGAGATTTGTTGTGCTTGAACCAACTCTGCAGTTCCCACAAATCTGTAAAAGAAAGAATTTTTCACTGTACTACATTAGAGAGAGGAAAAGTCATACTGACTGTTTCACTTGCTTGAATGGCTGTATTTATTACAGGAACATGAAATTCAATGTGTAAAATGTCTTAAAACCCATATAGGGTGAGACTAGGGCTGTTTCATTGCCCTGAATTTGAAGCTTGAAAAAGTCTTAAAGTGGTAGGTGCATATATTAAAAAAAAACAAAAAACAGTCAAGGGAGCAGTTGTTTTTCTCTCTTAGGTCCTGGTAAGTTTAAATTTTTTGAGTCTTTAAAAGAGGAAAATGACCTTGAGAATGTTTATTCCTCTCCCCCTGCCCTTCTGTGAAGTCTGGGTCGGGTTCGGGAAGAGCTAGGGGTGGGGTCCTCACTCATGTCCAATACAACTCTGCCCGCATGCAGAAGTTTTCATTTTTATTGGTTTTACACAAGTACCAACAGAGTTCACGTGCGTGGTTCGTTTAGCCAATGCAGATCACGGAGAACAAACGAAAAGGAACAAACACAGAGCAAAATAAGGGCGGAGAAAATCTGTAAATTTGGTATTTGATTAAGAAAAAAAGATTTTCCAACTTTTCCCTGGACTCATTTCTTGCACAAGCAATTTTCAGGACAATTCAAGCCAAAAAAAAATTACTTTCCCTGTCTATTCAAATGAAGTCAACTAGTCACCGGGTTAATTTTGAAACTTGTTAGCCAGATGGTAGTTAGTTGCTCTCAATGTTTCTGTGTACTGAAGGTTTCGTTGTGTAATAAGCAAAGTCTCTATCTCTGAAGTCGATAAGAGTTTCAAACGTTAAGAAAAGTGGTATTTTGACCTCTTCTCCCTGCCTCTGTTCATGAGATAAAGGTTTGGGTTTTTTCTCTAGCAGGTGTCTGGAAATGAACTCCGCTCGTAGTTTTCCCCAGGAGGGTTCAGGAAGCCAGAGCAAGGGCCGTGAGCACGGGCCTTTGACATTTTAACTTTATCCCAATGTTCCCAAGGTTGCTAAACTTGTTTTTTTTAAATAGGCCCTGATTTTAAAAAAGCAGCATCTCAGATCTATTTCATAATAGGGCTTAATAAGGTCAGTAGAGATACTGGTTCCAGGAATAAAATCAGAGTGGCCTGATTTAAAAAAAAAAAAATTTTTTTTTTAATTAAACCGCCACCGAGTGAATTTAAGACATCGGTATTTGGGTCCTGCTGGCTTCCTGGGGCAAGTTTCTTACACAGGCTTAAAACACACCATCCTGACCAGGGCATGTTGAGGACCTTCTTCCTTTGAGTGGTCATGAGAAGAGGAAATAATTATGGCCAAGTTCTCTGAACAAAAGACATTATTTATGACAGTCAGCCCAGAAAAATGGCACAAAAACAAGGCTTTCAAACATAAGGCTTGACTTAACCAGAAGAAAGCACAGCTCTGTCTTTGGCTGTTTTACCCTTTATTATTCATTCTGGTTGATGTTAGGAAATGCAAAAGTTACATGGGTGTGTGTGTGTGTGTGTGTGTGTGTGTGTGTATTTTCTTTATGTTCTCCCCCAAGCCCTATCCTCATCTTTATAATTCTGGAAGCATCCGTTGAATCTATCAGATTGGTTATTTTACAAACACTTTCTTTTTTTTTTTTTTTTAAAGCTGGAATAGGGATCTAAAATATTTGGCAGTTTGCAACAGCTAATTTTAACAGAAACACCTGTTTTTCCGAATGGATGTGACTATGGTAACATGCAGATCGGGCGGAGGATTTGAAAGACGGCTGCCAAAGCCCTTTCCGAGCTCGGTGAAGGAGAAAGGATTTGGAGAAGAAATCCTTGCAGACTTAGTAGCATTTTCACCTGGGGCGGTTCCCCGCGGATCCCTCTGGTGCCCGGCAACGGGAGGTCTCCGGGTTTCTGGTGGAAACACAGATATTGGTGTTCTCTCCAGGCAAATTCTTCTCGTCTTGCTTTAATTTTTTTTGTTGTTGTTGTTTTTGGAGTATGTGTGAAACGAATTGATCCATGTTGAGTACGTAGGGTTTTCTCTGGGGTCCCTTGGAGAGGTGAGCTGTCTTCCTCTTCAGTGGCAGAAGGCTTTAAGATCTAACCGTCCAGATACCAATGAGGAAAAAGTGTGATACTGGTGTCTGTGATTGGGGTCAATCTAACTGCAGGTCCCTTAAGATTAAGGGGCTCTAGTGCCTGGCACGCGGGTAATTGTTTGTTTTTTTGAAATGAATGTATGTGATACTTGGCGGGACGTATACGTAATCAAGTAGTAAAATTGTTCTTGGAAATGAAGGTTATACTGGTCACTCATCTGGCAGATACTAACTGGGGGCCAGCTGTGTGTGCTAGACACAGCCGTGAGGAGTGAGACAGGACTCCTCCCTGACAGGTGGCTGTCCCCACTCAGTGCTGCCTGGAGCAGGTGTGTGGTCCATCATCCGGGCTACCTTAGGCCGGTTCCATCAGAAGCTCTTGGGGCGGGTGACAGTCTGATGTTTTATCCGGTGGTCCCGAGGACGCCCAAGTTGGAAAGCGCTGCCCCGAGGGTTCTGCTGGTTTTTCTGTTCCCTCCCCGGTCCGAGTCCGGGGTGCTCCTGCGCCAGGGGGCAGCCGCACTTCTGCAGGTTGCTCGTTAGCTCGGGCGTTTTCTTCCGGATGTTGTGAGACTTTTTCTTCAGATGCAGAAGACAAGTTGGTCTCGTGTGAATTTGGAATCTCTGAGCATCCGGGTTTTTCTTCTGGAGGATGTGTGAGTGTGAGTGTGTGTGTGTGTGTGTGTGTGTGTGTGTGTGTGTGTTTGCAAGCTCTTTCCCACCTCCCACCGCCGTTGGGAGATGCTCTGAGCAAATAGCTTCCTATGTTTTTACGTGTTGTTGACTCTTGTCCTGAAAACTGGAAATAGCAGAGAAGCTAATTAACACTCAGCGCTTTAGCTCTTTGGCTGCCAAGAAAGAGCACTGTGCTATTGAGTTTGTAAGGTGCTCCGTTCACAATCAAATGTGCGCAGGCTTATTCCAAAGCCCACTAAGGTTAACCAAAGCCTGCGTCACACCCAGGAAATAAGCCCGGTAGGACTGGCCGTGCACCGAGAATTGGGATGATCTTTTAGCATTTAATCCCCCCTGGGGGGGGGTGTCCCAGCCTTGCCGTCCCCTGGGACTTGGTGGACACAGAGCCTTGGCCCTGCCCCCGGCCCAGACCTACCCGAGGAGAACCTGCTCTTTGACAAGACCAGGTGGTTTCTGTCACACTGGCCTTTGAGAAGGACTCCGTTAGGAGCTAAATGTGGTGGCCACGACTGAATCATAGTTTTATTCTTTACTTATGGGAACCTAGGCATGTATTATGTTTATTCAGGTCTTTTTAGTTTATAATGTGCTTTTCTGGGTATCATGTAACTGTGTCATCAGAGCAATCTCATGAAACAGGCAGGTATTACTCACTGTGCATGTCATCTAAATATTTGTGCCTCTGTTTTCCTGCTGTAAAAATTAAGTCAAATATTTAGAATGAGTTCCCATGAGGTGCAAGGCCTTGTGGTGAGCTTTATAAGACTAGGCCTAACTACTTCATAAAGTCATCACAACTATGATCTGAAAAAATCTTTATATTAAAGTCATTTTCTCTTAATCATGTCGCCTTTACCCATCCAGTAATTTGACACAGGAGGTATATGGTGACTTCCTCGAGGGTGTCCCACATCAGGAGCAAGTTTCTCAGTC